CAAAAGAGATCCCGCATAGCCAAGTCAATTCTAAGCAAAAAGAACAAAGCGGGAGGCATCACACTACCGGACTTCAAACTATACTACAAAGCTACAGTAAACAAAACAGCATGGTACTGGTACCAAAACAGAGATATAGACCAATGGAACAGAACAGAGGTCTCAGAGGCAACACAACATATCTACAACCATCCGATCTTTGACAAACCAGACAAAAACAAGCAATGGGGAAAGGATTCCCTGTTCAATAAATGGTGTTGGGAAAGCTGGCTAGCCATGTGCAGAAAGCAGAAACTGGACCCATTCCTGACACCTTACACTAAAATTAACTCCAGATGGATTAAAGACTTAAACATAAGACCTAACACCATAAAAACCCTAGAAGAAAATCTAGGCAAAACCATTCAGGACATAGGTTTAGGCAAGGACTTCATGACCAAAACACCAAAAGCATTGACAGCAAAAGCCAAAATAGACAAATGGGACCTAATCAAACTCCACAGCTTCTGCACAGCAAAAGAAACAGTCATTAGAGTGAATTGGCAACCAACAGAATGGGAAAAATTTTTTTGCAGTTTACCCATCTGACAAAGGGCTGATATCCAGAATTTACAAAGAACTAAAACAGATTTACAAGAAAAAAACTAACAAGCCCATTCAAAAGTGGGCAAAGGATATGAACAGACACTTTACAAAAGAAGACATACATGAGGCCAACAAACATATGAAAAAATGCTCATCATCACTGGTCATCAGAGAAATGCAAATCAAAACAACATTGAAATACCATCTCACGCCGGTTAGAATGGCGATCATTAAAAAATCTGGAGACAACAGATGCTGGAGAGGATGTGGAGAAATAGGAACACTTTTACACTGTTGTTGGGAGTGTAAGTTAGTTCAACCATTGTGGAAGACAGCGTGGCGATTCCTCAAGGACCTAGAAATAGAAATTCCATTTGACCCAGCAATCCCATTACTGGGTATATAGCCAAAGGATTACAAATCGTTCTACTATAAGGACGCATGCACACGAATGTTCATTGCAGCACTGTTTACAATAGCAAAGAACTGGAACCAACCCAAATGCCCATCGACAATAGACTGGATAGGGAAAATGTGGCGCATATACACCATGGAATATTATGCAGCCAACGAAAACGATGAGTTTGTGTCCTTTGTAGGGACATGGATGAACCTGGAAACCATCATTCTCAGCAAACTGACAGAAGAGCAGAAGATCAAACACCACATGTTCTCACTCATAGGTGGGTGTTGAACAATAAGGACACATGGACACAGGGAGGGGAGCACCTACACACTGGGGTCAGTTGGGGGGAAATAGGGGAGGGACGGTGGGGGGTGGGGAGCTGGGGAGAGATAGCAAGGGGAGAGATGCCAAATGTAGGTGATGGGGAGGAAGGCAGCAAATCACACTGCCACGTGTGTACCTATGCAACAATTTTGCATGTTCTTCACATGTACCCCAAAACCTAAAATGCAATAAAATAAATAAATGGGTAAAAAAAAAGACTCTTAAAAATGAAAGTTACAATATAATTCTTGTAAAGTGTAACTAAAATGGTTTATGTTGAAAGTAGTTGATTTTCTGAATAATGTTACTAATTTTGGGTGACATTTTTACAGTAATTAGCTATTTTGACACTTAAAACTTGAGTGGAAACATTTTATTTCTCTTCAAACAAAAGCAAAGGCACAATGTTGTTTCTTATTATGTTGGAATAACTGTAGCCTGCCTCTTGTGTTTTATAAACTCATTGATTCATTCTTTAATGTGCCACCAAGAACTTTTTTTTGAGAGTCAAAATATATTTGTTTCCCAATGTCCAAAAATGTACAAGAATGTAAAAACAGTTTTTAAAATTATAGCCAGGTGTGGTGGCATGCGCATTTAGTGCCTGCTACTGAGGAGGCTAAGGAAGGAGGATTCTTTGAGCCCAAGCTGTAATCCACCATGATTCCATTTTTGACTAGCTACTGCACTACAGCCAGGGCAACGTAGTGAGATTTTATCTCTAAAACAAAGAAAAAAAATTAAGTACTGTCACTTAATTTTTAATTGATAGTCTTTGGTTGATTGTTTTTGGATAAGATATTCTTGAATCTTGGCCAAAAACCAGTTGTTTTAAAAAATTGTTCTAAATTAAGCATTTTTTATGTATTCTGGATAAAAAATATACTGCAGAGAAAATTTCAAGTTTTTCATTACATTAGTCTTTTTGAAAGAGAACAGCTTAGGTAAAATAAGCATATAATGCTCTATTTGTTCATGCTGTATTAAAAAGATAATAGATTTCTTATATTTAAATACATATTTCTCTACAAAAATGGCTTTGCCAAAAAAAAAAAAAAGTTATCTTTGGCCAAAATGCAAAATTACATTGTTGTAAGAAAGGTTCCAAGTCAAAGTTAAAACATCATCCAGTTTGAGGCCAGATCCACATATGACAGTCACAATTTCAACTCTAAACTCCACCCATATGTAGGATTTAGAATCTCAGTAGTGGGGTCTGTCCATGTATGAAGGTGACAGTCCTAATTGTTGGCTATATTTGTCTGTGAGAGTCACAAGCTCATTGTTTGCTGGGTCCTGCTATGTAACTATCTGTATACCCCAAGGGCTTTATAAAACACATGTGAGTATCATAATCTTCTGTGACCTTTTCACAATTAGTAGACCAAAAATCTTAGTTGTTGCCCTAAGCCCAGCTATTGGAGTCAAAATTTCTCCTACTGGTTGAGTCCATGTAAGAAAGTTATCATCATGACGGTTGCCTGAGCCTAGATATATGTCACAACCCCACCTGTGAGCAGAACCAGAAAGGAAAGTCAAATTACCTGAATACTGGGCCAGGGAAATGTTGATATCTCTCCATTGGCAGGACACACACAGGAAGGTCATTACCTTTGTGCTAGGTTTAGTGATATGTCACAATGCCCATTATAGGCAAAGCCCAGTCAAAAAAGCCACATCACCTAGGTGCTGGATCCAGCAATATGTCACAATCCCCCCTGTTAACAGTGCCCAGGCATGAGAGGAGAGTCATATTACCTAGGTAATATGCCCAGATTTATGACACAAACCTTACTGGAGGCAGGGCACAGGGAGGAGTACAGAGTCTCCTCAGCAAGGTGATGGGCTCAAAGACACATTACAATGCTCCTTGTGAGCAGGACCAAGTCAGGACAGTCAAATCACTTAGATGTTTGGGCCAGGTTTTTGTGACAACCCCAACTGCTGGCAGGGCTCATGCAGACAGTAAAGTCAATCAGGTACTGAGAAAAAAAGAAATTGTGTCAAAGTCACATTTACTGGAAGGTCCAGGGATGAGATTCACAGTTTCACACATATTCTGGCTCAAGGCATAGGAAATAACACCTTCTATCAATTGTTTTAAAGTATACAAATCACAATCTCAATGGTGGACAGAATTCATGCATAAAAGCTCCAACCTCACCTGCAAACACTAATGAGGGCGGAGCCCAGGCAGGAGAAGAGAGTCACATCACCTAGTTGATGGAACCAGTGATATGCCACAATGCCTTTTGTGGGCTGAGCCCAGGATGGAGGGGAGAGTCACATCACCTAGGTAATTGGCGCATAAATATTTCAAAATATTCTCTGAGAAAAGAGCCCAGGCTGGAGAGTCATATCACCATGTGGCTGGCCTACGTAGAGGTTACAATCCCATGCTTAGACAGGACCCAGGTAAAAGAGTAAAATTAACCAGGTGTTGGGCAGATTTATGTGATGAAGTGACATCTGCAGAAAGATGTAGAAATGAGATTCACAGTACTACATATGGCCTAGCTCCAATTATGAAAGTCACTACCTTTTGTGAATTCTGCCCAAGTACATGAGTCACAAAGTCAACAGTGGGCCGGATCTGTGCATGAGAGCCCCAACCTCATCTGAAAACAGTTTCTAATTAAGAAGATGCAGCTTCACAGGGTGTTTAACCTTGATCCAAAAGTCACCATCTTACCTGTGGTCTGGATCCATGTATGAGAGTCACAGTTCCAACTTTCAATTGCCTCCAGGTGCGAGATTCAGAATCTCAACAATGGGCTCTTTCCATAAAGGTGAATGATAATCCATACTATCAGCGGAGTATGTAGACAAGAGTCACAATTTCCTCTTCATGATGGACCCTGTTATAAAACTCTCTTTATCACCTGCAGGTATTGTACAATATGCTTGAGTTTTGTAGGGCTCTGTGACATTTGTAAAAGTCAGAAACCCAGGACATTACCTGTTTCCATAAGCCTACTTACTAAAGCAAACATCTATTTTATTGGCTGGGTCCAGGTATTAGAGTCGTTACTGGGCCTGTGAGCTGGTTCCAGAAATGAGGCACCATCCCACCTATGGCCAGGTTTACGTATAACAGTCACAATTCCAATTGTGGACTTTACCTGCATGTGAGATTCAGGAGCTCACCAGTGGGCTCTGCCCATGTATGAGTGTGACAATTTTAATTTTCAGCAGGATGTGGCTATGAGAGTCACAATATCACCTGTGTTCTGGTTTGTGTTATGAAGCTCTCTGTACCACCTGAAGTCTTCGTAATATGTATGTGTGTGTGTGTGTCAGAATTTTCTGTAACTTTTTGCAAGTAAGAGACTCAGGACCTTACCTTGTGCCCTAAATCTATCTATGAGAGCCAAAATCTCTTCTCTTGGGTGGTTTCACATCTGAGAGACATCATGATGCCTGTGTGCTGGGCCTAGGCAGAGGTCACAATCCTACCTGTGGGTAAACAGAAGGCAAGAGGGTCACATCACCTGGGTAATGGGCCAGAGATATGTCACAATCCCTTCTGTTGACAGATCCCAAAAAAGGAGTTACATCACCTGGGTGCCAGACTCAGTGATATGTCACATTGCCCAGGATAGGCAGGGCACAAACAGGAGAGTCTTATTGCCTGGGTGCTTGGTTCAGTGTGTGTCTCAAGCTTTTATGTAGGCAGCCATAATAGCAAGAAAGAGTCACATTACCTAGATGCTGGGCTAGAGGTATCAGTCTCTCGGTCATTCAAGGTGAGGGTTATAATCTCTTTAGACATCCATGTAACAGAGCCCCAGCTCCTTCATCCTCAGAAGCAAAGGCCAAGGGAGACCAAATATGGCTTGAAAGGTAAGTCCCTTAAGGGACTTATGTCACAATGCCCAGTGTATGGAGGCCACAAGCAGGAGAGTCACATTGCCTGGGTGCTTCACCCAGTGGTTTGTTGTTTCACACCCACAGAAAGGTCCAAGCATGAGAGTCCCAATACTGCACGTGACTTGTCCCAAATATGAAAGTCAACACCTTTTGTGAGTTCTGTCCAAGTACATGAGTCACAGTGTCAACAGTGGGCTGGATCTGTGCATTAGAGCCCCAACTTCATCTGAAAAAATGAACTATACCTAGGCAAAGGACATAGGTGATGTGACTCCCCTGCCTGGGCTATTCTCTCAGGGGAGATATTAAAATATTCATGCATCAATCAACTAGGCAATGTGACTCTCTTTTCTGACCTGGGCTCAGATAATTCTTATTTACAGAGGGCACAATTAGCAAAAGAAAGTCACATTACTAGGTGCTGGGCTAGAGATATTAGGCTCTCCATCGTTCAGGGAAAGGGTTAGGATCTCTTTAGATATCCGTGTAACAGAGCCCCAACTCCTCCGTGTTTGGAAGCAAAGGCCTGTGGAGACCAAATAGGGCTTGAACGGTAAGTCCTCTAAAAAAGCAGAATGTCATGGGCTTTGTCCTCTCCCCTTCAAGTACAACCAACCAGATTATGACCTCTCTTCTGACTTTTCACTATGCTCAGCACTGGAACAAGGCTCCTGACTTCACCCCTTCTCCTCTCCACCCCTGCACTCTTACTGGGCAGAGCAGAGACCAAAAGACTTGAACTTCAGCACAACCAGGAGAGAAATCCAAAGAGGGAGGTAGTGGCAAGGACTATGCTCTCACAGTTGTCCAGGCCCAAGACTGCAGCCCTGGCTGATATCCAGGTGACACTGGGTGCAGGTTGGACACCACTGGAAGACATGGAACAGCCTCTGCAGCTTCCGCTTATTTGTTTACTCAAGCACCAAAAATGTGAACACTTTTCCAAGGTTTTCAGATACACCCAGGCACCACTGGTTGACAGTGGGGATGATGGCATCTTTAGCAAAGTTTATTGCCACACCTGCCAAGGCAGGACCCAGACGCAGCCTCACCAAGTCAGCTGCCCCAGGCTGGAGGCGATCCTGTGGTGCCTCCTCCCTGCAGCTCCTCTCTTCCCCCTGTTTTTCTTCCTTAACCACTGGCAAACTTTTGGCCATTCTCTCTTTCATCACACTGGGGCACTCGACACCAACGAGGCCCGGGAGCCCCACTTAACTCAGGTCCTGCAGGGGTCAGGTGAACATGCAGAAAGTCCAAAAGGAAAGTCGTCTACCGCCTCCAGAATGAACAGATCAAAACCTCCGCACTCCAGGAATAAGTCAGGAGCCCAGTGGGGGCTGCAATTCCAGCTCACCACAACCTAGACATGTGGAGTGCTCCGTGGCTCATGCTTGTGTTTTGCCAGCTGGAGTTTCTGCAATGGTTCACAGTCGTTGTTCCAAACGTGGAACTAGCGCTTTGGCTGGTTAGCCAAGTGTCCTCGATGGAGAAAGGGTGGAAACGATGAGAGTTTTCAGCACAGTGGATTGCCTTGCTCTGGCAGCAAACAACTCTGCGCCGTGAGGCACCCAGAAGCTCCAGGCTAGAGACAGTCATGTCAGGCCTCCTACCTACAGCATCTCTCCTGCCTTTTTTTTTTTTTGCAACCCTAATCCCCTTCTTTTGGTTATCCTCCTTGTCACAATCGGGCAGTTGGTCTTTGTCACAATGGGGCACCTGGCACCATAGAGATGAAAATGTGCAGAGCTGGGGTCCTGCCATGTTTACATGAACATGCCAGGGGTCAGAATGAAAGGTCCTCTGAAGCCTCCAGAAGAAAAGGATCAGGACCCGGCACTGCAGGAAAGATTGGGGCACCCACTGGCAGATGCAGGACACACACACACAGCAGTGATAAATGTGTAAGGCAGTCCCTGGCCCGGGCCTGTCTTCTGGATTCTGGAGTTTGTATCCAGGCCTGGGGTCACCCGTCCACATACAGAATAAGCTCTTGGACTGGCTGCCTCACCCAGCACCCAGGCTGTGCCTGAGAGAATCTCAAATGCTGCTTTCCCACTGCAGTGGCTGACACTTTAATGACCCCAGTAACACTTCCCCCACAGGGACTCTATGTTGTCCAGCTCACCACCCTGGGTTTCTCATCACCCAGTGATTCCAAAAGAAACAATCTACAATGGCATGACTCCACCAGAAACAAACAAACATCTGAGCAAAGTCCATTGGTCACTTTAATTTTTTAAAGGTGACAATTGTCTCTCCTTGAAAGCTTAAGAGTTCACTAACAGGCTATTCTAATAGATGTGCAATTCACACTAAAACTGATTGAAGAGTGAATTCTAATTCTAGGATACTTTGTATTCTCAAATGGCACCTGCTTCTCCCAGCCCCATCAAAATTGAACAGTGATGGCTATTTGTCTTCTCAGCACTGTGGGGACACAGAGCCTTAGACGAAAGTGTGTCAAAAACAACATTCCATAAAGGGCTGTCACTTCCAATTTTCAAGCAAAGTGAGAAAGTAATCATGATATATGAAACACTTTGGCCAAAATGCACAATTTGTAATAGAAAAACAAATGGCACAAACTATTCCATATATATGTGGCCATCATGGCAATTTAGACAGTAAAAATCATTGCCAAATTTAGGAAGAAAAATCTGCAAGCTCATGGCTGCTAACAAGCTTAACTTTTGTGTGCTAGAAGTTTTGAAGCTTATTTCTCCATGCCAATCTGCCCAAACAAATCTTGAGTTGTTTATTTCTATAGAATTTCTAGAGAATCCTAATGGGCATGACCTTCTGGCCCATCCTTACAGCACCAGAGCCGGTGAAATTTCACTTGCTCATGTTTCCCCCTATTTTATTAAGAGTGAAAATATTAAATGACAGGGTAGGTTGGGAAAATACTGAATTAATGGCTGAGGCCTCCTGGTGGGTGGGTCAAGTCTCTGGCAGCATAAGCCTTTTTACAATAAATAAGTTACAGGTAAAATTATTAAAAAAAAAAAAAAAGAAAATGGAAATTATTTTCTTTCTTTGCTCACCATAAAGAGAAACACACAGGGTCCAGGCATGTCTGTGGGAGCCAGGCTTGTCCTGGGAAATTGGATCGTGCTCAGGAGGAGCCCTGAGGATGGAGGGCAGGTGAGATGGGGCTCCCAGGGAGATGCAGCCAGGGTCAGGGCCTGGCCCACTGAGGCTCACAGGGGCCTTCTGAAGGCCAGGAAGGATGCCCAGGACAATGAAGGCTCAAGCGGCCCATCTGAGTCTAGATCTGTTCAGGTTGTGCTGAATCTCAGCAGCCCTGTCAACAAGGTGCCTGATCAGCCTTAACGATCTCATTCACTGGAGGCAGGCACCTGGTGGATGGGTCCAGAGAGCTGCCTACTGCCAATGCGGGAGTCCACCGCCCTGCCGACTAGAAAGAGCCTCTGCGGGTGCCGGCCCTAGTGCTGTCAGTCTGTGGGTTTTTCGAGGTGGGCATTCGGACCTCTGTGGCCACGCCCAGCTACCTGAGCCTTATCTTCTCAGTCTGCAGAAGTGTAGGACCATCAAGACTGGATAGGATTTGAATGGGAGTCCCCCTAAAAAGATAGTGTGTTTGGCCTCTGCTCTCCTCTCTGAGCAGAACAAGATGACCACCTCTGTCCTTTCTTCTTGCAGTGCCCAGAACTTGAGCAGGGCTCTTGGCGATCACCTTCCCCACTCCCACTGCTCTGCCTTCCTAACTTTGCACATTTCTCAGGTGGGGCAAAGATCAGGCTGCTGGAATCTTGGCACAGCCAGAGGAGCAAGCCAGAAAAGAGTGAGGCTGGTGGAGGCATGGGCTGTGCTCCACTGGTGCCCCAGACCAAGGCTGCATGCCCAGGCTGCAGTCCAAAGTGTACTGGAGGCAGTTCCCTGCTCCCCCAGCAGCCTGGATCAGCTTCTGCAGCTGCAGTTTCTTCCAGTTCTTGAGCAATGGGAGCATGTATCATTTCCAAAGGTTTTCAGACAATCTCTTGTGACCCCTGGCAAGGGGTGGTTATCTTGGCGATCTCCAGCAGGGCCCATGGCCTTGCACCCAAGGAGTACCCAGCAATCCCCACACACACCCAGGCACTAAGCATTTGCAATGGGCCTCTTTCTGGAAGCTCGCCTTCTTCTCCTATTTGCTCTTCGTCTTCCCCTCCCCCCACCCCCATACTTTGGCTATCCTCCTTAGCATCACAATGGGACAACTGGGTGCTAGAATCTTGCAAACTGCTGTGCAGACTTTTAGTCCTTCCCAGGCCTGGCCAACAGGGCAGCGATTTGGGGACAAAAGTTGTCTTCTGCCTCCTTAAGGACCAGAACAGACTGGCACACCTAGAAGTCATGCCCTAGTGCAGGCTGCAGGCTCAGCTCAGGACAAGGCTGGAACGTGGGGCGCTCCCTGATATGCCCTTTTTCCTGAAGGCTGGGGCTTGCATGGCAGAGGTAGCCCTTCAGGACAGGGAATCGGAGCTTTGCTGGCTGCTTTACACCACTAGGGCAGCACCAGAGATCATTGCGGCTGAGGCTTTCCTGTGGGCTGCAGTGCCTGCCCCTTTAGTGACCCCACAAAACACCTCTCCAGCAAGTAATCCACCGTGTCCTGCCTGCCAGCCTAGGCTTTCTCCTCACCTGGTGATTCCAAAGAAGACAATCTACACTGAAATGACTAAATTCTAGACACAGGGAAACGCAAAGAAGCTGTGGGAAGACGGTTTGTCATCTAGATTCTTAAAAGATATGTTTTCCTTTCTTGTTATATTCATTAGTTTGTGATATTGTGCCAGAATTGCTAGCCTTTGCTTACCGGTA